TGGCAACTTGGCGATTGCAGCCTGGCTTTTCCAGGACGTTTGCTTTCTTCTGGCGATGGCAGGGAGCTGTGAACAAACATCAGTCCTAAAGATGGGCCTTTTTGATGCCGAAGAACCACAGCTCCGTAATTTCCTTATAAATCTAGCATAACCCCATGGATTCAGAGAAGCTGCCTTGGATTTACACCAGCAACACTCCTCCTGGCCTGCAACCCAACGTCTCGAGCAAAGTGTTTGCAATTCAGCAAAGCCCTTGCAGGCTGCGGGTATTAATGGTGACCCGTGAGAAAATACGGCGGCATCTCTCCTCAGTGCTGCACAGATGGGCCCTGCGCAAGCTCCCGGCTGCGGGTGCCGAAAGCGGAGCGACGCCCCTGGAAGGCTTTTGTGTTTGTGCTACGGGGTGGAGGGGAAATTTAATTGCTTGGCTGCTGACCGTCGACTCCAGCCAAAAGCATACTGGCTCCGGTGTGGCAGAGCAGCGTGCCGGCTTCACGGGCTCCGGGTGCTTGGTGGTGTGGGGTCAGCAGCAGCCGGGTTTATGGCAAGGGGGGATGCTGCGTTCTCTGTTGGTCTCTGCCTGTCCTTTGCTTCTGCCAGCCACAGCCACGGGTTTCTTGTAGTTTGGTCACGGCTGTAGGGAGTCTCAAGCCTTATTTTAAATACAAATCTTGTGTGGTATTTGAGCAGGACATAGTTTAGGAACAAATGACCAGCAGGGACATTTTGGAAAAGGGCTAGAAAACATTAAAGATCATGAGCTTTGATGTCTTCTAATTTAGCCCAGGAGGATGGGAGCCGAGAGCCCTACGGTTCCTACAGACCTGCAAGCAGGGCGGATGCAAACAATTATTTATTTGCCTCGTTGCAGTGGAATTGCCTGCACTGGACAAAACCTGGTCTGCAGGATGATGTTAAGGATGGTGGGCGAAAAGGAGAGAAAACTGAATAATTAAGAATGTGACTTTGGGAAAGGGAGTTTGCTGCTATTTTGAGGCCTAAATGGTTTGGTTCTTGCTTGTTACTATTACATAATGTATTTCATTTGGCATTACTTTATGCAAGTAGGGAGAGGGAAAGCTGGAGCAGAAGGGAACTTAACTCAAAAACCTTGTCCCCAGGTCCCAGCCTTTTCTGTGCTGCTTATAATTAACAGAGTAGTTTGGAGACCAGCTAAAATTTTGGAGAAGGAAAGTCATCATCAAAGTTTCCAAACCTCGGAGAGATGACAAAACACATCCGTGAGGACCCCAGCAAGTGCCTTACAGGGGCAAGCAGCACCAGAGCAGACAGTCCTGCTCTTGTCAAAGGGGGAATTTTTATTAAGAAAGCAGAACCCAAACCTGTCCAGCCTTCCTGTACTGTTACAAAGAAACCGAGAAATACATGCTGTGAGGCAGGGAGGAGAGAACAGACAAGCCTGGCGCGTATGCAACTTTTGCCCTTGGTTTCTGAAGTCTGCTGAATTTTAACTTGGAAATTTTCTGTCTGATAGCAGAGAGAGACATGGGGAACCAGGCGGGGGAGGCACTGGGAAACTGGGAAACACCAGCCGAGGGTCTGGGCGGGGGTTAAGAAGTTCCTGCTATTTTTGCTGTCGCTGCAGTACTTTCCACTGTACTTTGTTGTAGACTTTGTACTTTTATGACCCTCCTAACCCTAAAGACCTGAAGCCTGCCTGGGGCATCTCCTCCCCCCACCATGTCGCGCAGCCTGCGCGAGGGTGCTGGGGCTGAGCCTCCTCTCTGCCATCCCGCAGCCCAGCAGCCCCCGGCGCAGCCGCCGAGGGCTGTGAGCAGCCCCCTGCCATGGCAGAGGGACGAAAAGGCGTTTGTCTAGACACGGCCTGATTCCTTTTGAAATGGCTGCTCAGTCCCGCTGGGGCTTCGCAGTGTTATTAATGGTGTCAGGACAACCTGGAGCTCTGGGAAAGGCGCTAAAACGGGCAGGACCTGCTCTCCGGTGGGGTGCGATTGTCCCAAAGAGGCCGGCTGCTGTGAGGAGCAGGGGAACAACCCCTTGCCCCTCGCACAGGGCAGCTCCGGCAGCAGAGCCCTCTCACTCCCAATGCCCTGTGTTGTTTGCAGGGCACCCGCTTGGAGCAGAGGGAAGCGGCTCCTTCGTTGAGTGGGATTTGGAAAGGGAGGAACGGGGCAGCATCTGCAGAGCCCACGGTGCCAGCATGGGGGGACAGAACCTCACTGGGTAAAGGCACTAACAAACCGGCCACTGCCCTCCCACAGGAAAGTCAAAATGGGGAAGATGTGTGATTGTTGGGATATTATTCCCAGGCTGTTCCAGCACTCCTTACCCAAAGTTTTGCTTTCCTCTGAATCTCCTTTTGTTTCAGTTTCCCCTGAAATGGCTTTTTTCAGACTGATAGAGCAACAACCCCCAGCAGCGGCCCTTCAAGGGACAAACATCACGGCCGCTTTCCCTGTTCCCAAATGGCACTTCCAAGGACAGTTCGTTTGAAATGTCATGTTCAAACACAGTCGTGTACTTGTGTTCTCCTCGGAGGTACGAACAGCTGTAAATCTTCAAAGAGAACAATAATTAGCCCTAAGCAGCACTGGGCTGTGAGAAAATGGATCATGGAACAATTATTGAAAGCAGCCGAGACTAAAAGTAGCATTTAATGGGATCCGGCATCTTCTGTTCCCACTGACCTGAATGCTGCTCCTTCTGCCAGGCAAAGGGAGCGAAAACCACTGAGATTTGTAAGTCAGAGTATTTAGGTCACACGTGGATTAGAGTGTGATCAGATTGGCTTTAATGTAGAGCTGCTCTGAATACCTATAGATCATATGGCGCGCTGAGGGATCAATGCTTCCAACGGCTTTTAGCAAGGTGACGGGGCGAGCCCGGTGAAAGGCTCTCCCTCCGGCAGCACCGTGGTGTTTTGTACCGGCTGCCAGCAGCACAGTGGGTTACGGGTGTTACTCACCCGTGTGCGATCCCAGCTGCTGCGCTGAGAGCGGTGTGGCCGGGAGCGCCGTGGGTGGGATTGCTGCCCGCAGCGCATCCCTGCGCCATGCTCGTCCCTGCTCAGACACGGATGTCACGGCGTGGGAGGAGGTGCGGAGCAGAAGGGGCTTCCCGCACCCTCTCTGTTGCCTCTTCTGCTCTTCGCAGAGACCTAACAAGCTCGTTTCATTTAAGAGCACATCTGCACAGCTCTCGCCTGGTTACAGATGTGTTTGATGTGGCGTTTTCTGCCCCTGGCAGCCTGATCTCTTGTCACGGTGCTGAGTGGCCCAAGCACCGGCCAGTCCTGCAGGGACCAGGACCTGAGGGCAGGACCGTGGCTGCTCCTTGTCCTGCTCAGCTCTGCCAAGCTGAGGCCTGTCCCCAGCATGATTCCTCCATCACCACTGGGAAAGATTATGAGACAACCCAGACCCTGAACGCAATCGGGACACTGCTGCCAGGTGGGTCTGTGTCCCCGGCACGGCTGCTTCTCTGTCCCTGGATGGACAGCTGGCCGGCTTTAGCTCAGGGCTGGAAAGCCAGAGGTGATGTGGGAGAGTTTCTCTGATGGATGTGATCACCTTCGCCGTCCTCGACTGGACAAATGTGCCCACAGGTGGTTAAGCTGGTGCTTGGTCTGCAGCATCATGCTGTGCTCCTGAAGACCCCGTGGTGGTGTGTCCTCCCAGCCTGGTCCATAGGCAGGATGTCCCCTTGCCTTTAAACAAAGACCCATAGTGTTTCTGGTTTGCCATCCCACCAGGCTCACCCACAGCTAAAAGCTCAGGGTAAGAGGAAGAAGGTGGCCCTCAAAGATGCTGCAAGCTGTGATTCCTTAAACCAGGAGCTGGCCTGAGATAGTACCTGTCGCGCAGAGCTCCCGTCTTCTCCCTCTCCAGTTCCACACCACGTCAAACCCTTGCCCCAGGAGAGGAGGCAGAAGATACTCTCAGCTATGTTTTCCTGGCTAACCAAATCACTGAAGCTACAGGGAAGGGCCCAGGTCTGAGTTCTTGCAGCAGTTCTCTGCTATCAGATGCTTTCCATTAGCTGAACAGAGCAGGGCTGCGACCTGCAAGCAGCCAGCCGGGGCGTTGCACTGGGGCAGCGGAGCCCATCTGGGTATCAGCTGTGGGTATCGGCTTTGCGCAGAGAAGGCTCCGCCTCCCTCTCTGGCTCCCTCCGACGCGGGCAGCGCTACCCAACCCCACTGCAATGCCTGGTGGCATGAAGCCGTAGGAGCATCCAGCTTCCAAAATGCTCCGGGCTTTCAATTAGCTGCACCTCCACGAGGAGATTGCTCAGCTCAACGTATCTAAAATCTCCTGTGATGATAGATCGTGATTTGACAGGAGAAGCACAGCTGGCAAAGACATCTCTTCACTTCCTGTAACTTCCCGAGCGCTTCTTAATAACGCCAGTGCTCGTAAAGGTCTGTGGTTCTTGCAATCACGTGGAGAAATAATCTCCCCGGCTGACGCTGATGTGTTGCTGCCTCGGGGTAAGGAGGCAGCAGCTGTGTTTCAGCACACAGACATTGCACAACAGTTGAGGATGGGAAGAGCTGATGTATGCTGGATCCAACTGAAAGAGGAATTTTAGGTCAGCAGAATATTGTTGTCAGCACTGGGACGTGGCCAGGTTGCTATGGGGACACCTGTGCCTTTAGGTGTTTGAGCGTGTGAGGAATCAGGATGCTCTTTCACCTCATTTCCCCAAGAAATCATGCTTCTGTGATCCTCTCTTCCAGCCGCCAGCCCCGCTCCCCCTCTGATCCCATCTCAGCCCAGTGGCAACCTCCAACCACATCTAAGAGAAGGGTGGAGGGCTCCGAGACACGAAGCACCTACAACAAGCCCGTGCAACGCCTGGCCTGAGCGCCACGTGCATCTCCGGCAGGTATTTGTTTGGTGCCAGCAGCTGCCAGGCAGCACGTTGCGGCTCAGCAGGGAGGCGGGCACTTGCCTGTGTAGCCCTGGATCAGCTGGCACCCACTGCCGCCCACAGCTGCACAAAGGGACGATGCCGGCATGGAGGTGACAGGGCTCTTGCTGGAGCAGAGACCAACCTACAAAGCTGTCCTTTGCCCAGGGGACCTGGGCCTAGCAGACAACATCCAAATCCCTGTCTTTAAAAGCAGGTCAAGAGCCGAACCCTGCCTACGTGAGGAGTTGAAGGATAAATGCTTCAAGGACTGGAAGGATGTTTTTGATTCCCAGGCCTTGGGAACACGGGCGGGCGGGTCTGGTGGAGCCAGGGATGAAATCCGGGGGAAAGAGCTGCAGCCAGCCCGGTGAGCCGGTGGGTTTGGGCCGAGAGCCAGGGCAGCAGGAAACCCACCCGCACAGCCGGCTCAAGCATCCGCCTCCCCTTCTACCTGTGGCAGGAGGAGCCGGAGTCAGGCGGGGGCTGCCGTAGCAGCAGCAGCTCTGGGGAGAGGGGGAATTGCATGGAGAAAAGGAAGATTCATCCCCAGAACTAACCTGTGCCGAAAATAATCAGTGACTAATTTTATGTCTTTATGATTGCCTTTTAACTGCGAGTTATTAAAGACGGGAAGAAAGAAGATTATGTCCTGGTGGGAGGATAAATGAGTGTTGCCATAGAAGCGAGGGGATGCTGCAGCACAACTCGGCCCGTCTGGACCACAAACCATGAAGCCATGGCAGAGCCTCGAGGGTGGCCGGCACGCTGCGGACAGAGACACACCCGTGTGAATCCAAGGCGAGCTGACAGCCTGGGAAGACAGAGTAGATAGATTTGTGTTACCAAGCCAAAGCCAGAGAGTCAATATTTAGCCTGGACAGGGAGCCCAGCCCTTGTGCAGCCGGGCCCCCGTCCATCACACTGTTCGATTGCCCTCCCAAGCTCTTCCAGCAGTGGCTTTCCCTCCATCTGGTCTCACAGCCAGATCATGTTTCTCCCCCTCTCTGAGCTAACCCCGTCCCAGAGACACTTTTACCAGTCTCGGGGCAAGGGAGAAGCCAGGATTTGGGGGGGTTCAAGGGATTAGGAAAGAATTTGCCTCTGGGAATGTCTTTCCTCCATTTGCCTGGGATAAATTGTCCGATGGAGATGGAGGCTTTGCAGCTCAGCAGGGAACTGCTCAGAGCTAAACATGTGGAGGCAACAACACTCCTGGTCCCTCCCCGCTGCAGGAACTGGGTGTTGAAAAGTCCTGGAAAGGGTGGGGAGAGCGCTCTGTCCCGTGGCCCCATGCCAGGATGAAGTGGGAGGACGTTTTGCCTGGGCTCTGTGCATGCAGACGTTGCCCGTTCAACGCCCGGGTTCTTTCCTGGGAGGACCAGCTCGCCCATGGGAGGCAGGAGCAAGCTTACGAAGCTGCAGGCACCACAGGAAACATGATTAATTGGAAGAAGAAGGGGGTTTTATTTGGCCTGTTTATAATTTTCTGCTTCCATTATGTCCCTGTAAAGCAAACATGCCTTGCCAGTTAACAGCCCTGACCTTACTGGAGCAGGAATAAAACTGAGAAAACTACCCTTGGCATGTGCGCCTGCAGCCCTGGCACCGCGTGGGGGGCTGTGTTTACAGCTCCATCCCTTCCTCCATCTGCGTTCAGCTTCTGCGTCGCGTTATTTATACCGCAGCAGGGTTCACGGCGTGCTCAGTCCTGTCTCTGCCAAAGAGGGGAAATCCCTGCCCTGGAAAGCAGACGACTGCTCCTGAGTTCATTTGCTGCATGGTCCTAAAGCAGGACCATGACCCAGTCTCACCAGGTGTCCAGAGCCCTGGAAAAAGGCTAAGTCCCCTCCGGGATTCCAGTGGCCAGTTTATTCCTCCTTTAGATCTTGCAATCAAAGACCTTTCACACCTCTGCCAAAGAAAAATGTCAATAGTGCAGATGTGAAATGTCACAGTTTCAGGGTTGGGTTTTTTTTAATCTGAATCCTTTCAGAAGTGGCTCTCCGTAAGAGAGATGTCCTCAAAGTGGGATGCCTCCAAGATGTGCCGGACTGGTACCAGCCACGGCTCCACCACGTCCCCTGGGACAGGCACTTCTGCCCGAGGCTGTACCTGCCCGTGCTGAGCTGGGAGCTCTTGAGTAACTTTGCACAGGCAGGGCCAGAGCCTGATGGTCCTTTTCAGCTCCCCAAATGAGAGATGCTTCATCTCCTCCCTACCTCCTGTGAGCGGGAAGCTACGGTGAGGACCACATCCTTCCCTACCTCCCCAAGAGGTGCCTGTGCCTGCGGCAGAGCTCCTGGGGACCTGGCTGCAGGAACAGGTACCGCGGGGAAATCGTGGGGGGTCGGGGGGCAAAGGACCTGCTCTAAACACTGGCAAAAAGCGGTTTTCACCGGGGTTGTCTAAGCACTGCTGGTCCCAAGGGCTTGCCTCTCCTCTCTCCTGCACCACCTTCTTAACCACGCCTAGCAGGTTTCTGATCTGCCTCTCTGCATCCCCGGCACCCGTGTCTGACCCACAGCTGGCTTAGAGACCCCAGCTTGGGGAGCAAACGGCCCCTTCTCCCCTCTTCGTGCTCTCTGGGGGGACATTCACAGAGGGAGAAGCTGCATCCCGGGTGCCCTTGAGAGTCGCATCCCCCTGCGCCCGCCTTGCTAGTGGCAGCCCCTGCTTTCGATGCCTGGGGCTAAACTGCCTTTTCTGGGGCTGAAGCGCGAGTGCTCCGGCTCCCGGTGATTGGGTGCTATTTTGCTCCAGCACGGTACGGCAGCTGTTGCTGTATATTACCCCAGAGAGCCAGAGCCCACGGGGGGGCTGGAGGCGAGGCGGCGGTGGTCGAGCTCCAGGTACGACTTTCTGGATTTTAACCTTTTCAGTTGGACACGGGGCAGCCCACGGGCACGGCCCATGAGGCGGCACTCAGTCCGCTGCTGGCCGGCAGCAGATCGGGGGCCACGGGGGCCCGTCCCGGTGCTGCCATGCGAGCGCACACAAGGGAGAGCAGGGCAGGCGAGGGGACTATTTTTGGAAGTTTCTTTGATGTGAGTCAGCGGTAGAGGCAACCTCAGGAGCTTGTGCAGGAAAAGAAAGTCCCAGCGACATCAGAGCGGAGCTGGTTATTCATTGAGTGTCTGTAGTTTTGTGCGTTTAAGAGAAGATCTGGCATGTGGAGTGTGCATCCAAGGGAGCGGGAGCACGGGCGGCGCCGGGGAGGGGATGGAGGGGTTGAGCAGTCGTACGGGAGGTCTCCTGTGCAGGAGTCAGTGTGAGCCCAGGGCTCGAGCTGGGCTCTGGGGCTGTGGGTGACCAGCCTGCCATGGGCAAGCTGTCCCTAGCATCAGTGGCCATCCCTTCCGTGCTTGGCCTGGGCAGTGGCCGTGTGCTTGGTACATCGGTGCAAGAGCTGGACCGACAGGAACCGGCCCTAGGAAACCTGGTCCTGCGGGTGATGCAACCCATCCTGGCTGGGGATGAGGATCCCACGTCAGCTGTAGAGCCCCAAAATGCCTCCCTCTGAGGCTCGGACCCCCATCTCCCATCCGGCGAGGAACAGACCTGGACACGGAGCCGGTCAGTTCGTGGGACCGAGTTAACGCCTGTCAGCGCCGGGGGGAGGATGGCTGCCTGCCCAGCCACGGCACGGCTGTCTCGGAGCCCTGCAACCGTCGCGGCAAAGCCTGGAAACACGCCCAGGGGCTGGAGGCGGTTTGGGCTCTGTCTGGGTGAAACCCAAGGGAGGGAGGCGTGGGAACAGCCCAGCACCCTGTGATGGGGAGCTGAGCACAGCCGGTGACTGGGAACCACAGTGAGGACGTGGCAGGATGGCCGTGTGCTGTGGAGCACTACTGCCCGCTGACCGCCCGGCGTTCATTTTATCCCTCTCAGTTTAGTGAGAATCCCTTGAAACGACATGGCAGCAGGTCCCCATGAGGTCTTGGAGAAAGACTTGGGATGCCCCGAGGCCATCAACAAGCTGCCCGGGCGGGCGGGGAGCGCTCAGAGGCAGCCAAGGAAGGACGGAAGAAAAGGTACCTTGTCCTCACTGCGAGCGGGCAGCCAGGAGATGCCGGCTGTGGCCATGCCAGTGCCGCTGCCGTGGTGCTTGAGGCCTTGCAGGAGAGGGCCCAGCCCAGCAGAGGTGGCTCTTTGTGGCACAGTGAAATCACGGGGCGACCTCGGACATCAAGGGGCACTTGTGCGGCGCCGACCCCGCGGGGACATCGGCCATGGCCACAGCCAAGAGGAACGGCAGCTTGTGCCCTCCTCTGTCTTCCTTGCGCTCATCTTTGCTCAGAAAAAGTGTGAATAACTGTGTAGCTCAAAAACACGACAAGCACTTGGGGGAAAGACTCTTTAAGGAAAAATTTTCCATCTTTGTGCTTTCCTTGGGGCTGAGAACCCCCCAGCCAATGCAAGAGTCCTGGGGCAGCGCCTTCGCTTCCCAGCAGAGAAAGGACCAGACTTGCCATCACTAAAACAAAACCAAAGACTTTTTTGATTTCCTGTTGAAAGCCAAAACCTTTCAGGCCATGGTTCCCCAGCCAAAAGGTTCCCTCTTATTTATTTGTTTTGCTTCCAATAGCTTGTCTTAGATTTCATCCTGGGAGCTGGTATTTTTTCTCAGCATTCATTCTTCCACTGGGGGAAAATAAACTAAATGCAGCTCAAAGGAGGCAGAAATTCCTCCTTCTGGTGAGGGCTTGGAAGGATGTGGCATCCAGATCCCTGCAGAGTGAGGGCTGCGCTTGGAGGTGCCGAGAGGGCTGAGGCCACTTTGGCGTCGGGACCATGCCGGTGCATCCTCACCCCCGTAGCTCACCCCAGACACAGGGGCAGAGGAACCCCAAATCCCTTGGGCAGGGAGCCCAAGGACCGCAGCACGCTCCCCAGCCCTTCGTTGCGTCGGACTGCTGCAGAGCCCTGGGGACCCTCTGGTTTTCTCTCCTGCTTCACATCTGGGAAAAGCCTCAAGAGTCACCCCTGAGCTTCGCGGTCCTCCTGGGTGGCTTGCAGTCTTCTTTGAGGTCTGGTTGCTCCACAGTAGCTGGAGTTTGTCCTGCTGTCTAGGCTATAGCCTGAGCTGCTGCCTTCCAGCCTCCAGCCATGTGTTTTCAGGGTGTCCGTGCGCACCCTGGGCTGTTGGTCCCTCCGTGCGCCTTGGCAGGGAGGTCACCATCCCCCTCGGCTGCAGCTCCCTGGGGATATCCAGGACAGTGCCATTTTGGGGCTCAGCAGCCCCAGACCTGCATGGTGATGCTCTTACA